GCAATTTAAAATTGTTATAGTTATAGCTTATTGGTTAAAGTATCTAAATAAATATATTTATGCAATTGTGTTTAGATAGTTTTCATATTTTAAGTCGTCAGTTTGGACTAGAGCAACATTCCAAAATATAATTGGTACTATGAAGTGTCCCATTCATATATACGATACATACAACATACAACGGTTCATTTTTTCTTATAATATCCACTTTTTTATTACTACGTGGATCATGCGCCATTTGATGTTTAAGTTGTATCTCGTGAATTCGTAATAGGTACCTACTTCAGTTTTTTTATTGCGTTAATATTTGACGGATAAAATGAATTTTCCATTAAAATTTTTCATGATAAATAAAAATAAATAAAATCATATACAACCAAGAACGACTTGTGATTGTGCATACCTACTGTATAGGTAAAAATATGTACCTGTTATTATCTATATACCGTKTGTTCACCAATTTAGGGAACACTGAATTTCTCGGCCTGGTTATGTTGGAACAAATTTAATTTTTTTTTTACAAGCTAGTAGTACATAAATACACATTTACAGATAAATTTCAAATTTTTAACCCTCCCGGTACACGCATGCGCAATGCAATATATTTTTTTTTTTAATAGCAGCCGGTAAACCAAAATTGACTAAATGAGAGCCATTCAAATTTTAATAAATACAATACATTTTTACAATTCATTATAAAATCCATACCTACCTAAAACCATTTATTACTGGTTATTTTTTTAATTTTTTTTATACGTATTAAAAATAAGATTAACATAATACGGATATAAAATGATTTAATTAAAATTGATTAAAACTGTATACGTAAAAATATTCAAAAAGTAACCAATATAATAAATAATTATAAATAGTTTTATGCATTTTATAATGAATTGTAAAAATGTATTATTTATTAAAATTTGAATGGCTCTCATTCAGTCAATTTTGGTTTTAGAGCCATGGTTAATRGGTCAAAATGACTTTAAAAAATTCAGTCTATCCGAATTTGGTATCAAAATACCGGTTGCTATTAAAAAAAAAATTGCATTGCGCATGCGCGTACTGAGAGTTAATTTTTTTTTAATTTATCTTAAAATGTGTATTTATATACCACTAGCTTGTAAAAAATAATCGATTTATTCCAACATAATCTGGTCGAGAAATTTAGTGTTCCCTAAATTGGTGAACACACGGTATATACCTAGCATTTGATCGTTAGSTATCTTGAAGACCTTTACAAGATTTTTCTATCGTGATCCTTTTATTTAAGCATTATGATATTATCTTAGATACGTTTTGCTTTTTAAATTATAGACGCACGTATACTATTTTACAGCCCTTGAAGGCTAATTAAACAAAAAAAAAATTCTTATTTCAAGAATCGTATAATGAATTTATCCCTATAGTGTCAACGGAGAAAATTTCAGATGTGAATATATTTTTATTTAAACAAATTAATGTTAATATAATATCTATTATGATGGTTATTGTACTTTTTTTATGTATAGATTTTATAAGTTCTAGAGAAAAAAAATGTTTGTATAATCAAAATAAATTTTAATGGTTGTATTGTAGGTTAGCAGGTATACTCAATTGCGTTTCAAGACATTTTAAGCATGGGAGTTTTAAGATCTACATTAACATTTAAATATATTGTGTTGTATTTAACATGCGTAAGAAAACAATTAATTCAATTAAATAATAAGTAAAGAAACTTTAAAAAATATAATGTTGAAAATTGTATGTTATCACCTATACTGTAGATTCCGAACTTGGGACGATGCGATTGAACAGATTACAATAATCATTATAATATAGGTGCATTATATTATACCTTTATCTATCTCTCCAGTTATTCCTCATCTGCCGACTCGTCTGATAATCGCGCATTATACCTTTGACGTGCCTACGCGGATATTATTATAGTGCGCTATTATTACGAATGTTTAATACGTACGAGTAGTCGGCGGTAGCACGAGCGCTACCTTCTCGATAATTAGCCAAAAACTGAAAAACCTGCAGATACAACGCAATAATAATAATTTATTAAACGGATTCCACTCGCCCGTCATATTATAATATAATATACTCATATAGTCTTATAAGTTATAATATTATGCGTATATTATACAGTGTCTTGTATAAGCCGAAGAATAACGATTATAATTAGACGATTGGCTCTCCGACCAGTTTTCACGCATAAACCGACACACACACTTATATTATGTATAATATCAATTTTTTTCACGGGCCACCTCCTTCCGTGGTTGGTGCTCTCGGGCGTAAGACGCGTATAACATATACGTGAGCGGATCTAGACGGACGACAGACCTACCGCCGACGTAGTCTCTCCGCTCCCGCCGAGCAGCGTACCATTTACGTTTATACAATAAGATATTATGTGTAGTGTGTTGTCTTATAATATTATGTATGTCAGTCGCAGCCTCGTTTACGTCGTCGTCGCCCGTTTGTTAGTTAGTTAGTCGTCGTTAAAGTACGAAATACTTTATCATCGTTGTAATTATATCGTTCGCGGCTTATAACGTKCGCGCATATATATTGTATTTGTGACACAAATTTTGTGTACAGCAGTTTTTCGTCCTCGACGGCCATGGACCGTCCCGCTGAACCGCTGCTCCGGGGTTTCGCCGATAGCGACGGGTTACATCGTCCGCCGTCACCCCCGCCCCGAAAAATACCGGAATCGGCGCTATCCGCCCTCCGGGGCATACTGGTGTCGTCTCTGCAGACGTCGGTCGGCGGCCACCGTGTCGACGCGGCCGCCGCACCTGTTCCAAGAGCTCGCCACGCTCCTGACCGGACGTCGCCACCGCCACCTCCTAGACGTCGTCCACGTCCGCACGTCATGTCCGACTCGCCGACTGCCCGCGCCACCGCCGGTACACTGCAGCCGTTGGTCTTTATATAACTAAATATACATATAATGCGATTATGTCTTTAATAGACTTAGGACTTGTATTGAATACTCTTATACTTATTACGACTTACTTATATATTTAAAATTGCATAAGTTTGGACATCACGCGATATTGTTCTGGCGGGAGGCAGTTAACATTTTAAATTTAGCAGTAAAAAATATCAAGGGTGGACGGTTGGAAAATCGAGAGAAAACTATATAAGTAGATATAGTGCTGCGTTTAGGTGYCGTACTTGGTATTTTTCGTTAAGGATGTAAACATCTGGTCCTTATTATTATTAATCATCGTTGGTAGACAACGATCACTTGACATCATATCGACGACCCCATGGTCGAGTATATATACGCTATTAAGCTTTCGCGATGAGTCATAGTGAGTTTAATTCTTGAATATTCTTCCCACCATCTTGCCTCGTCCACCCGGTTCGAGTCGCTGGTCGTCGTATATATATTATTATTATTATATTATGTTCTCTTTCCGCACTATACACGAGCAAACACATTTCCGATCGTTTATCGTGAATCAATGATCATATTACGTTCGATTGTAGCACAAAGACGACGACTGTGATGACAACAATCTGATGGCAAAGTTTTACCGTATATGTATACCAATCGTGGTGAGCACAATCTTCTCGTGGCCCCGATTGACTCGGGACTTCGCTATAATTAAAGACGCGTGTTGCAACACGATGTGGTGCGCGGGGGCGATCGAAAAGAGAAGATCTCTGCACGTCGCGAGATCTACATAATCGATTATTCGCTCAATAATATTATATATATATATATATGTTATATACCCGGCCTAGTGACTACGGTTACGTCCATTCGAACACTGCAGAACGTTCAGAAGCTTTCTCGTCATAAACACATATCACGTAACCTAACCTAACCTTATACCGCGGTAGTGGAAATGTTTATCGCGTCGTATTAAATTCACGCCGCTTGTCGTCGATGTATATAGTGTTTTCGAGAAATGTAAGCACTTGTTGCTAATWCTCACTACATGGCGTAAATATAGTTGACTAGAGAGATGTAGCTAGAGTGTGTTTATTGGATTGCGTTCCGGGGTCGTCCCAGCCACTAAACGTTGATCCTATAAATATAAAATATACTGCAGTCCGTGAACCAAATTTAATATTTTGTCGTCATATACAGTTTACAGACTATACGTATGTGCAATCTGTCATAAATCATAACGCCTTCGCCGACATTTTAATATACTAGTTCTTGGTAAACGTAAAATACAGACCGAAAGCCGAAAATTATTATGTTGTCGTCCGGTTTAAGAATAGAAACAACGTGCACGACCGTTCTCTTTGTGCCTCGCGCTCATAATATTATGTCCACTGAGCAGTCCGCATAACGTTTTCTTTTTAGGAGTGGTCACCGGCCGTCTGTACTTGTTCGTGAAGGTCGCGACCGCCATGATGTCATTTTTGAAAAATTATTTTTTTCATAAACTCCATTTAAGGTTGCACGAAATAAACGAGGCAATGTCGAATAGAATATATACATATAAAAAAAAAGTCAGTTTTTTAATATGTATATAATACACTTATATAGTGGCGGCTTACATGTTATTATGTATGGTTGCATTCCGCTCCGGCTAATATAGTACAATGCACTACAACAGCCGACCGCGATGTTTACACATCACGATCACATTCGAATAACCGAATTAAAGGAGAATCTTTCTCTCTATCTTCTGGGCTAGATGACGATTCGTGCGAGATATTTTATTGTTTGCTCCGCATATTATGTACGAATGTAATTTATGATGAGTCTTACGTGAGTGGGCACGAATTTCATATTATACCCACTCGACTCGTCGAATAACACAATAGGTACGTTTAGGATATAATATTATTGTTATATTAAAGTCAACTGCACTGCAGCAGTATACGGGATCGGCCGAATATTTAATGCAGCCATTATGAGATAGCTAGTACACTTCTGACCTATGAATAATCCTCATTTATCTTAATAATGTGTCATGCTTTAATGCTTATAATATCATATACAATTATATAATTTTTATTATTTTTTTTATATTTTTTAGCAGGAGTGACCACTGTTAACTCTGACAATCGGCCAAGTACAGCTCCAACACCACCTCAAAATTCTTCTAGAGGTTAGCATTTCATATATACCTACTACTAACATATATATTTTATAATATTCTACCACCTTTTATAAGACCACTATACCTTAAGATTCAGGAGTATAATTATTAAATCGCGTCCATTAAAAAAATATTACTTTAAATCTACAAAATGTTGTTCTGTAGAAAACAGAATTTGGCTATACACTTCAATAATGTAGTTGTATTTATAAAGTGTAATATTTCAAATTATTTCCTAAATTATGGGTAATAGATATATAATACTTATTTCTTCAATAGAATTATGTACCTACCTATATGATGAAAATTAGGTAATACTAATAGGTAATCAAATGTTATACTAATATTAGTTATATTATTTTATACACATGCGTAAGTGTATCATATATTTTAATAATTCATAAGTCGCAAACTACTAAAAAAATATATAACTTACCTTCGGAAATATTATATAATATTCTTAAAATATAAATGCTATTATTTTTTTTTTCTATTGGATCAGCAGGCGGACTTCATTGGTTTGCTCATGGTGCAGATTCATTTGACTTTTATGATGAAACAGACGAAACAGGTTTACATAAATGTTCTGCTCTTGTATATATGCCTTTTATAGGGCAAAAACTAACACATAATATTAGATAAATTATCGTCTGTTTGTTTGTCTATTCTCGTATTATACTAACAGTTTTTTTGGTATTTTAAACGCAGTTTTATATATAGAGTCCGAACTTAACATAAATAGTATTTTATTTCATTATAATACTTAAACGTTTAAATTCAGTTGTAAAATGCGTATGTATAAAATGCTATATCATTATTACATATTTATATTCAGAGTAATCATAGAATTGTTTGGTTAGTTACCATAAGAAACAATATCCAATTTGCTTCTTAAAACACAAATTTAAAATATATAATATTATGTTATGGGTATTGAGGTACGCAATCGAATGGTGTGCATTTTTCATTCATATTCGATTATTTTTTATGCTTACAATGTTGTTTAGTCTGAATTTATTATTTTGTGCTGGATGTAGATTTTTACATCGAGGATATAAATAGCAAACTACGAAACTAATATTTTCCCTTTGTTTTATCGTAATAATAATAATAATAATATCGTTTGTGTGTGAGTGTGAGTCTTTATGTTTTGATCTTAAATAATATGAGCATTACTATTTATACTGCTCACACGTGCTTCTTAATGCCATTTGAGTGGGGATTGTGGTAATTATGGGTTTGATAACCCTTGTATAGTGCTTAGAATATATTGAAATTAGGTTATCGTTTTTGTTTATAAAGGAAAAGAAAATGCAATCAAAGACCGCGAAGAACGATTACGACTTGTTCGTGAGAAACACGATGAAGAACGCCAAAGAAAACTCGATGAACTCAAACAACAAGTAATTTCGTATCGATGTTCCGATACGTTTATATATTTTATGCATCCATTATCCGATGGGCGTTATCTGTGCGTCCATAAACATTAACGGTATATTTTGTTTTTCGTTTCAGGCACTGGCTGTACAAAGGTATCGAGAACAAAAAGAGGAGGAAAGACGGAGACGTTTAGATGAAATGCGTTTACGAGATTCTGAAAGGCGACAACAAGTGGAAGAAAGAAAAAGACAATTGTTCGAAGCTGAGAGAGAGAAACGAGACGCTATCCTAAAAAAAAATCTAGTAATTATAAAAATAAAATTAGCTTATATATATGCGTTATTGGTCTTATTGGTGTTTAATCTATTACAATAATAATAATAATAATAATACATTACTTAATACTCTTATAACTCATTATAGGAACGTGAGGCCAGAATTRTGTCAAAAAGAAGAAATGAGCGTAGCTCAATTGTTTTCGCATTCGGAAGTTCGACGCCTCGCATGTTAGAACCTTCAGAAACCGGCGGATCGTACTGGGCTAGTCGCAGGTAAATAAAGTGTACCATATATAGTTTGAAAGCAATTTCTGCTCAAAGTTTATTACTATGTATTTTCTTAATACACATTTAACCGTTTGAACTTTTCCCGTTTAYCACCAATCTATTTGTTTATGTTTGATTTTATCGAATTATTTCTTAGAGCTACATCTACCAGCAATGTGATGATGCTGAGCAGTACAACTCCCATGGGCCCTTTGACGAGGAGATCGTCAGAGCGCGAGCTAAACGAATGTTCTGGGAAAAAAAGGGCTGCTTCAGCTGGTGGTCTGTCGAATCGCAGTACTGACGGTAAGTTCGTCTTAATATGTTTTGTAATACTACCTTCACATCATGTAGATGATCAGTGTTTTTGGTTTACGAGAATGATAATAAAATAAACTGGAAAACAAAATTGTTTGAACATCAGATTTTTCAGAGTACAATAATAAGAGACATTCCGTAATGGATGTCTTACATTGGAGTGATATGTGTTACCCTGTTATCCCAGAATACCCTGTAGATGTGGGGTGTGGTGAGTTTTTGGGGACGAAAATCCTATTCTATATACGTGTGTCATACTCTAATATAATTGTGTGTCGATTTCATACTACCTACATGTAATATATAACGTTAACTGCAAATGCATGTTTATTTCTACGTGCAAATTGGCTAATCGAGAACCAATTTGTCCGATAGAAAACGTTGTTGTGAATTAGTGCGTGATTTTTTGTATGTTGTATATTAATACTGATTGAATAATCTTATTCTATCGATTCTTATAGTTGGTGTGAAATTGTGATTTACTACGATATAAGTATTTAAAAAAAATTAGTTCAACCTAACCGTGTACATTATTATTTTATTGTCTAGAAATTAGACTTTTAAGAAAAAAATCAACAAAATATTATATTCGACAGGGTTTAGCCACCGAGAAAAGAAGATAAATTTATATTATTGTAATATTCACACGGGCCGTTTGCTAAAAACGCGTTCTGGGTGGCAGTAGTTAGTTTACTTATATTTAGATTAGTAGTACTTATAATTATAACAGCAATATTTGTATATTTGTGGCTTATCGCAATGAAATCTCTATATATCGACCAAATAACACGAATATTATGTTACCTATATTATTATGTTTTAATTAGCTTTTGGCTAGCCCCGCGTACACGCCTATTTACTCTATCTGCTTCCTGCGCGTGTACCTATTACTAAGTAGAACAAAATTACCGTCGTTTTCTATACTWATTAATTAATTAGTTCTGTAAATTGCACGCACGTGTTTTCTACACCCTGAACGCGTGCTCGTAAACATACTTTATATAATATATATTATATTTTAAACAACAGTGGCGTTGTGAATTCGCATTATACCCTATGGGAGCTGCCTATTAATTTACTATTATGTAAATATTTTCTAAATAAAAGCCTTGTCCTAACCGCTAATACGCTCATTACAGTCGGTCATGGAAATGGCTGTTTTATAAATTAATATAATATATTGTTCTGCATGCGACCAGTCTTAAAGAACGTCCAATTTTCATAACACAACTCATTATAATACTTTGAAATAAAATAATTAATTAATTTGAATAACCATCTTGGGTTAAACGAAATCGTAAAATGAAAAACCTATATTAGTACAATAAAGATAAATGTTTCCAATTTAAATCATCGGGTTTTTGGTATTAAGAGGACGTTATACCCGCRCGAGACAACACCGTCTATTATAAAAGTGCGTAACATATAGCACATTTTATGCTCAGCAGATCTCGTTTAGCTCCATTACTTAGTTAAAAACTAGAGCGAATTTACCTCTTATAGAATTTGAAGATAAAAGTATTGTTTAAATGACCTCATGGGCTTTACACTATATTAGTATTTAGTATATTTTTATTTTGAAGCGAGTTATAAATATTTTAAAATTGTAAAAATTGTTTACATCTTTAAATACTTATAACTCGCTTCAAAATTATAATGTAATAWTAGCTCATGAGGTCTATCTTTAAATTGTACAAAAGGTCAATTCAGTCTAGTTTTTAAACTAATGGAGCTGAGCGTAAAATTTTGTATATACACACTTGTTAGAAAGAGACAACACATGCGAGTGTAACGTCCTCTTAATATATACTCTTCAAACATCCTATACTACACCGCGGCAGCGAACTATCGAGTGCTATAATATAGCTTTAAGAACTTTAAATATATAATATAATAATTATATATTATGTGCATAAACATGCCTTCGCGACGCCACTGAATTAAGAATTAATAAATAATATCATCGCGCCGACTATTGGTGATGTGTTCTGGAGGTGACGGTGCAGCGCGTTTGTACATGTGTAACATATGTGTGTTTAGAAGGCGGTGATGGGAGCGCCGAACGAAGGGCGGCCAGACGGAAGACGGACCTGATGCCCACCATCGTGTCCCCGCGTGACCTGACACCCTGCAGCCGTCCCGGATCATCCAGTTCGTCCCGTCGGTCACCAGGTAGGGCGAGTTCGATGACTCGGCTGGACGGCGCCGCAGCCACCGCTTTCGGCGGTGGAGGCGGACGGCTACTGTCGTCTGCGCGCAGCATGAGCCACTTGGCCGGCGGCGGCGGGCGATCTGTTGTTTTAGGTGCCAACAAGGATCGCTCGACGCATCACCGTAGTATGATCGCCTTGAACCCGGTGCCGCCGCCCAGACCCACCAGAGCCGAGCGACTGCGCAAGCGCGCCAGAGAATTCGCAAACGGCGGTGGTGCAGGTACGTGCAAGATATATCATACAGCAACAGTCGTATATTATTATACTAGTTGTATGATTTTACATGTGACTTGATAATAATATGATACACGACGTATTATTATGCGGAAATTAGTCGCGCAAACTGCACCTCGTTAACAATTTAACATCACGACATTATCCTCTTTTACTCGTTTGACCGTAACCTAACACACACACACACACACACACACCACCCTTCGACCTATTTTAGTTCGCGTGTATCCATAACTTATTGATTATTATATAATGTGTGTACCTAATAATACCTATATAACAATATGAGCGATGACCACCTAATAGCATGTGCTCAGAGATTTACCGACACTCCGAACTTTCCCCTCAAGAACGATCACGTCACTGATAAATCAAATCTGTACGCGATAGACGTATGAATATATATGCATTTTACTATACACTGCAAGTCTGTAAGTACCGATTAATTAGGTGCATAGTACCTACAAATTGTACAGTGGCTTATAAAACTGCCGTCATCCCTGTAGTATATTTATCACTCGATGAGCATCTTTCATTTTATAACTAAACCATTAAAATATATGTCGAGAAAGTGTTATGTTTTAACGATGAAATAAATCTGTCACTATGTAGTATGTAGCCTAACGTATTCGATATTGACATTTACATATTATTTTTATTGACTCCCAATACCTAAATAATAACACAGCTACTGATTTGATTAAATAAAAGTGTATTTTCTGTTACAAAGAAACGAAATTTAAAATTTGTCTACTGATTTCTATTTTCCCGCTATCTATGTTGAATTTTTTTGAAATTGTATTCAAAATATAATTGATTGTATTTTATAATTAATGTTCGATTTTCATTTCATTTTCATTTTTACCAACATCGAACTGTTTTCGTAATTCAGATAATCAACACATAAACTCATATCATGGCTTTACATTTTTTAAAGGTCTATTTGTTTTCATCGATAGTCACAAAAAACATTTTATATATTATTATAGAGGTACCATGTGCCTATGTCTTTCAATATCTATGATAACATTGTATGTACTTATTTCTTTATTAAAGTGAAAAAAAAACTATTTTTAATGCTAGGTACCTATATATATATATACATATTTAGCGAAATGATCTATTTCCCTTATTTTTTAGACTTCAATTAACGATCTTTTTTTTTCCATAATTTTAAATATTTATTGTTCTATTTATTTATTTCATGTATTGTAAAATCCTAAAACTCGTTAAAACAACTTAAAAATTTAAGTTATTTAAAAAAATTCTTCATTAGATAATTCATAGGAATTCTTGCAGCTCTGCTGTACTCGTCTATCAGTTTAATTTAACTAACAGTTTGGTTACCTACCAAAAGAAAAGTTTGAAAAGCGGTTTTCGCCATGGCGATTTGTGTCCCACAGAATAAATAACATAATGTGTATAATAACGCTGTGGTCTGCAGACATCCTAAATAAAACTTAATCTATAATGCATCGATACCCTTCTACATGACTACATTCGTTATTWCGTTATGGTTTAAATTTACTCCCACAAATGCATCCAACAACCCTCACCTAACTTAACCATCATCCATGCATATCGCATGTTACATTTTTATTATCTCCTCTTACCTCTTACCTACGACATGAGGGGAAAAATGACTCTATCGCCGTTTCAACATTTAACTACCTACCATCATAATATATTACCATTACCATTATACCTTTATTATATAATACCAAGACATGCCCATATTATACGAAATCGTATACATTTTACAAACGTGAAAGATGACGCGCCGTGTCTATACGCTCGTCCCATCGTCAATATTCAAAATTTAAAAGCCAAGCCTAAATTTACGATCAAACATTCGTCTTCTGAAGTGTCTCTAAACTCTTAAGTATGTTTCTATACATCAAACCTACCTACACTTTTTATTTAAATTCAGCGCATTTTCATCTTTTATATCGACGGACGACAAGTGGAGCATTTCACATATTTATAAACAATTCATAACTATGTCCCCACGTGTGTCCCATCTGTACCTACAATATTCTGTTTACATTAATTGTACCATGAATATTTYCCTACGTGAACAAACAAATGGATCGAGGTGGGAGTTTGCACATAATTGCATATTTGCGCATGTAAACTACCTATATACTTGCTTATATATTACAAAAGCTAGCATTATAATATTCATATTGTTAAAAACGCTTTTTGCCTTTTCGTGCTTATTAGTTATTTGTTTATTAATTATATTATAACTATATTTGTATGCATGTACACAAAAAATATATGTTTATTGCATAAATCTTAAAATCAAACCGTTTACTTTACATAATTTATTAATGACCTACTTTGGTTACTTAGTTAACCATCATTAAAATGTATTTTCAGTTTTTATATAAAATATCTATGTAAATAAGTTTGAATATATTTCCTGGTATTATTCTATATAGTATCTAGTCACAATTATGTAGGTTAAACTCTTAAATAATACGTCTTACTCTCAATTAAACCTTTAAATGTGTCACATGTTTTAATCAATTAAACATTTATGGCACAATTTATATTATTCATTATTGATTATATTTTATGTTCAAGCGTTTCTAAATGTTTCTACTGTTGCTAGTTATTTTCAATTCATTAACTACCTATAACTTTACTTATCCCAACAGATATAATATAACTTTCGYGTGTATGTTGCAAAATAATGAGAAAGGTACGCTGAAAAATTGGTCTGATAATATACCTACCTATTATTTAACTCAACGTTTTAACCTTAAATACATAGTTTCAGTTTATTTAGCTTATTTTGTCAGTAGGTAACGTTTAAAAATAAAATGCATGTACCTATAGTAATTATTATTTATTATAATGTTTGTTTCCTCAAATGCATGCATATTGGTCTCACCCGAATCCGATCAAAAAGTAAGTGCACTTATCCAACAGGTGGCGGTACTCGAGTTTGGGCCAAGGCGATCCATTTCCACAYAGAGTTTCCATAATAAATAATATTTTAATACAAAACTATATTTTTACCGAATGTTTAATATGTATTGTATTCTATTTTTATCTAATACTTCTATTCCCAGTCACATTAATTTCAAATCCACTAAAATATCAATCGATTTAATATATATATTAATATAATAATATAATACAATAATTAACGGTTACAGGTGCAAATTATTCATACACGCAGAATATTTTTTCTCTAAATCAATTTTACCTATACTAATTAATCATATAAAGAAGTTTTCTATTTTCGATAATTGACGATATATATGGTTATATATATATATATTTTTTTTTAAATGGCTACTTTACTATTTTGTAGTTAAACAAGGTTTCACACCTATAATAATTCATTCGGGTGTAAAGCCTTGAATTAAACAATGTTTTACATTGGCCGTACAAAACACATAGTACGATTGTAACGAATACCCACGATCGTAGAAAAAAACGACGATAATTACACAGTTATTAAACGTAAACATTTACAGTAATGTAATATTATACCGTCGCAAGACCTTGTACAACATTAATGTTAACTTTTCTGCGTGAATGATTTTCTGGTTGATTATATATACATATATATATATATATTCTTGTCTAATTTCCAACTTGTTATTTTTTTTTATTATTATTATTATTTAATTACCTATTAAACGTATATAACAAAAACATGCGCGTAACATGCAACTAGCATCGAAACAAACTAACCTGTACGCTGATTGATTGTTTAGGCATGAAATCTGGTGAAATGACGCCGAATCGACCCCAGAGTTCCATGAGTCAGTCGAGCACTGGACCTTTGCCMACGCAACCGAGATCCAGGCCCGTAGCGACACCACGCAAACCGCGGCCAATCAGTATAGCCGTGACTGGCGTCACATCTGATCCACCCGCTAAGTCTCCGGCCACTGGCGAAAGACCGCCACTGCCCAAAGTGAATGTTACCAAAAAGTCGATTACCCCTAAGGTGGAGACGAAAAAGTTCCCCAACGACAATACAAAACAGCAATCTTCGACGGCTATAAAGGTAATATAGAGTGACGTTTATATTCATTACGATGACAATGGCAATTGATAATACCTAGTATAATAAATTGTTTATCAAATTTAGTTGCCCATCAAAAGAAAAAAAAAATAATAATTCAATTTATATGTATAAAATAGTGCCTATATTAGAATGCATTATATGTATGAAAAAAAATAATTCGATGTATTGTGTATAAAATATGAATGTATGATAATATATGGTATGTTATGATACGTGTTTTCAGGACAAAAATAAAAACGCAAAGAATTCTACTGAATCATCCGATAACGTCGAATCTTCTAATCAGCAGCATACCACCGCGGTGGTTCCCAAAGACGAAKACAGTCGTGAAAATTCGACTCAAGGGTCGGTGAACGACCTAGCCGAATGCGACATGACCGCTTCGATGTTGGCTACGAAACAGAAGATCTCGACGGAAGAAGAAGCCAAAGCGGCGTTGGCGGAACGCAGAAAACTGGCGCGTGAACAAGCAGAGAGAGACGCAGAGTTAGAAAGACAACGATTGGTATGTCCAACTAACGTTATCTTGCACATGTTTTATAATACTTTGATATGCTAATAATTGATTATGTAAACGTGAACACGTTATTTACTCTGTTGGTTTTCTTTCCGTTCGTGCGTGACAGGAAGCCGAGAGATTGGCAGAAGAAGAACGGTTGCGTTGTGAAGAAGAAGAACAACGTCGGCAAGAAGAAGAACAACTACGAATGTTGGAAGAAGCTCGGAAATCTGAAGAGTTGCGGTTGCAGTTGGCCATCGAAGAAACAAAAAAACGTGAAGAGGAAGATAAAAAACGAAAAGAGGAAGAGCACAAGTTGAAATTGGAAAAGGAAGAAGCTGACCGCAAAGCAAAAGAAGAAGCGGAAAAGTAAGTCGTATAATACATTATTTTAAAACACCATCACGAGTAAATTACATTACTCGAGTTTAGAACATACACGGCGTTAATTCGATAAATAACCTTTTTTGGGGGGAAGGAAGAGCTTATTAATTTCATAAGTCATTAAATAAAGTCTTATATGCACTCATCTAAAATCGGTATTTTAGTTTGGAAATTTGAAAAATAATTGCATTTCTTGTCATAATATTGTATATGCCATATTATATTATTTTATTGCAGTCAGTACTTACTGGCTAAGCGCCAATGCATACGATAATAATATGATGGTACGTTATAATGCCATATTATGTCCATATAAGAATTAGGTCGTATATATCTGTCTCTCCCACGTAACTTTGCAAAAATGTGTTCAATAGGTTATATGGTTACGTCACAAGCTATATTGAAAAATTATTTTGGAGATGAAAAACCTTTTTGATAAATTTATAACTATAAATTATTTTACCACCTGTTTAGTAGCTTATCTTAAATTTCTGAAAAAAATATGTTTTTCATTGTTTATAAAATATAATATTCAAAAACTATTAATACATCTTTCAAATAGCAAGAGTATAGTTTCGAGTTTTCATCAACGAAAATATTGTTGTTTTCATTACATTATACGTTTCGTATTATAAAATAATAACCTGCAATTTCCAAATCCTATATTAAGATTTAAATTCGACCTTATTAAATGATGGCAATTAATATATTATGTATGATATTATTTTTTACATCATTATATTAATATACAGCACCATTATTAGTTATTACATAGGTAAATAAATAAAGAAGCAGGGTMATTGGGCCCCCTTCTATCAAGCCGTTAGGTCCTGTATACTTTTACCCCCATCCCATATTATATATTGTTAACATTTTTATTACATGTTGTATACATATTCTTGTTTGTTTTAATAAAAAAAAATGTTGATAAACTTTAATTGTATTAAAACGTTTCAACGTTTTTTGAGTATATTTGTATACATTAAAGAGTTATTTCAAATCAACAACTGTAAAAAAAAAAAATATCTTATTTTGCCCTAATTTAAAATTCAAATATCTACTTATGAAAAAAACCGTGCATGGTAGTGCATATGTATCTTTATTATTTTGATAAAAAATAACAACTTATGAAGAACATTGTGTTAAATTTTAAAGATTTTAGGTATCAAAATTGGTTTGAAAAAAATCGAAAATTTAAAATGTTTCTAAATAGCTTCAAAATATTTTGTTAAATATACGACCATTTATTTAAAATTCTAATTTACACATTTGGTGAAAATTTCAAGTATCTATAGTTATTTGTTTTTGAGTTAAAACAAAATACAAAAATCGATTTTGTTAAAAAATTGTTATTTGTATGCGTAATAATTTCCGTTATAATAATTTATTTTTATTTTTCCCAAATATTAAGAAAAGTACWAAGAATTTTTAAATTGTAGATTTCTAGATTTACTTTCCTGTCAGAAAAGATATTGAAGCTAAAAATCTAATAATTATTCTGCTCCAAAAGGTGGTAACAGATACAAAAATAAAAAACCTTTAATCAATACACATATTTAATAATCCAAAAATCGAATTTCGAATAAGTAGTTAATTAGTTAATATATTATATATAAATTATAAAATATAAAAGTATTTAAAACTTAGATTGTCGTTGATTTTACTATTCAGCTTTTGGTGTTTTTGCATGGTTTTTATGTTTGTTCGTTCATTTCTTTAATTTAAATACTAATTAACTACCTATTCGTTAAAAATATATTCTTACATAACAAAATTCTCAGAAAACGATTATCTATGCAAGCTTATAATTTTTTTCAWAAATGTTAATTTGTTATAACATCACTTTAAAGCATCTTATCTTTTTTATAGTATTTAAAATTTAAAACGTTATCGATTTTTGATATAATTTACCTACTTTTAATTTTGTCATCGTGTATAATTTATAAATTTATAATATACTAAATATATGTTCTTGTTTTATTAATATTTTAACTAAACTTCTATTTTTCCACAGGCTGAGACAAGAGATGGAAATCAAATTGAAAAAGGAGGAAGAAGACAGGCAACTTAGACGTAAACGAGTCGAAGCTATCATGCTGCGGACTAGAAACCAAGGCAAAGGAAACTCGTCGACCAAAGTACGTGTCCCATATTAGTTTATTACCATAGATCTAACCTGATACCTTTCCTGTGTCGAAATTTAAAAAGTAAAATACAATTGTCGTTTTTCAGGAAGAGACTGAATCTGCCGAGCAACAAGCCGGCGAGAATAAGACGGAAAAATCGTCGTCTGACCGGATGACGACTAGTCAAGGACCGATATCTGAGACCGAAGCGATGCTGACCGCCGAGAGGGTTCATTCGTTGTCGTCAACGACGTCATCGACATCTTCGTCGCCAACATCACCACCGGGCGACACTCTGTCTAACGGACTGCTTCCGGTAGAAACTTCCAGTTCCAAACAAAACGGTCGTACGGACGACTCGGTAGTGCATCAGAGCAACGGCTGCCTTCCGACGGCGAACGGCAACACAGTTTTCAGCTCGGAAGTGTACGTACATTACGCAGTAACTAACTAGGCTTGGCACATCAACAATCATTGACTCTCATATAATAATAATATTATTCCATTAATTATTACGACTAAATATACACGACTTTTTTGGTTTTTAAATTAAATAATGATAATTTGTGTTTATTTAAACGTTTAAATTTTTAAGTTTTTTATAAGAAAAGTGTAGTGACTAGAGGTGATGTTAATAACATACTTAGCACTATATTATTCTTTGCTTTATTTTTAATATTTTGCACTCCAAAAAAATATTCTGCTTTAGATTCAGAGATTAAAATGAAAAGTCGAAAAAATATAATGTGATGTCATAAGTATTTTAAAGCTCATGTAAAACTTCCAAAATTCACAGATATATTCAGTTTAAAAAATTTGTTTTTATTTGTTTTAACATTGTTTTTTTTCCTCCAGACAACTAAACAATGTCACTAACAATCTGCTAGATTTATCGTTGGAACCCATTCCGTCTGACGCTCTGTCAACGCAACAAATCATTGATATTGGCATGAGCAAGTGCATTCAAGGCAACACTACGGACTTTCCTGCGTATCAAGAAACTAATAGATCAGAGCAACAAATTGTCAATGGTAAATATAATTATTGTAATAGATTATAATAGACAACA